AGAAGTTTTGAGGAATTTGGAAAGTGAGGATCTAATAAAGGACAAACAGTGAATGCACGTGCGCCATTGCAGACGATTTTGGGCCATGTCGACCAAAGTCTTTAACCATTGGTTAAGATAATCACCCTGACCCCAACTAGGTGGTCTGCACCTACATACGTAGCTTAGTCCAAGAGTCAGTTCTTTGGCCTCCCCCTACCTTTCTTCCAACTTACTCCTACACCAACCATCATCGCGTGTCGAGGTAGGTGGTGAACGAGTATGCTTTCTAAATGTACTAACCATCTCAGTTGCTAAAGATTCACTACTTCGTCAATTGATTTGCTATACCTACCTAGTACTCTGCGTCTATCTTCAGAATTACTAACCCGATGGTCCCGAAATATACGGACAATCCCTCGAAGACATCTACGATCGAACACTAGTAGCCTATGAACATCCTGTATTCTTAAAAGCCAAGTTTCTTACGTATATAAAGTAGAACGGAGCGAATCGCTGTTCAATAAACTTGTCCTTTAGTTGGAAACCAGATATCTCACCCACGCCACAAGTGAAGTGAGTTGGCAAAGCCAACTGGGCTCTCTGATTTCGTACCTAAACAATCTCAGATACAAATCCACCAGAGCTGATGAGACTTCTAAGAAAAATGACGTGATTGACACTCATCTACCTCAATCCCTTTTATTAATTCAAGTGTTGACGCAAGCCAACCCTACAGCAACATTTTGCATTTAGAGGGAGAGAAACACGTCCCTAATATACAAGCATTGTTGCTTAAGGCGACCAGAAGACTTTATTTTTTCGATATCACCAAACAGAACTGTGTCATCTACGTATTCTAAGTCCCTACACTACTGTGCTTTTACCATAAGTTATTAATCAGTAGAAATTTAAATATTGTCTTTTTTGTTTCATTTCATTTAACAGTTGGACAACAATATATGAAGGACAATCAAATATGCATAAAGTGAATCGTTTATCTGAATTTACAATTTATCATTTTCGTGTTTGTGCTATGAATACAACAGGTTGTGGATTGTATAGTGACATTCAAACAATTCGTACTCAGAAAGCATCACCACCAGCTGTACGAGGTAAGGTTGAACAGAATATTAGGTGCGTATTTTTATGTAGTAATAGAGAAAAAAGAAATACAATAATAATATTGTATACTCATTTCGATTAAATTTGCAGAGGAAGCTTAAGCAACTACCAGATTTGAATCATAGACATCGTGATAATCAGAAGGAAATACCACACAAACTGTTGTCGATAAGTAATGGTTTAAGATTTTACACAGGTTGATTGGGATATAAGTTTTTTGAGCTGATGCTTTGATATTGTTTGTAATTATTATGGTACTATGCTTTTTAATAGTGGCTAACACTCCAGCATAATTATATCCATCTCTCCAATCTTATATAAAATGGAACACATGTCCCAGAATTCACCGTTAGCCTCTACATACAATACGTCCAATTTCTAATTTAAAAATAGTATCAGAATGTATCCGCTCAAGGAGCCCACATATAAATAAAGACAGTTAACATTACTGTGTAGGTATCAAGACTCAGTAACCTACTACATCAAGTGTTAATTCTCACAAATAAAACTCACTAGTTTGATTGATATATAATTCACCTCAAATGATGAAGTAGTACGTAATTTACATTCAAAAAAAAATGATAATTCTATGTTTACATCACCTAGAAGTGTTAACTAGTAGTGCTAACTAGTTTAGGATGTGATGATAGGAAGCGAATGATTTAGAAATTGGTTGAGTTAAATGTTTTCCCTACTCTAGAGTCGGATTAATAATCCTACATCCTCGGAATAATCCCACAGACAATATATTCTGTTTCTGGATCAAACATTCATTACAAACTATTTAATTTTTTTCTCTGTAAATTAAGGTTGTTTAAGGGTGTATTTAAAGTATAGTATTTCTCTAGAATATTAACTGTTCACAGTCACAAACTACGCTCTTGCTTCTAGTATTCCGCATTCGAATTGAATATAAACGTCTTCATAGAACATGAAAACCATACATTAACTACATCATTTGCACATCGTCCATCAGTTGTCTCTTACAAAATTTATCGTTCGTTCCTTCATTCTTGTTATTGTTTTGGTTTCTTTAAGCGTCCCTCTCTCTTCTCGTCATTTCAATCTTCCTCTTACAAGCATTCCATTTCCGATCGGTGCTACTTACTACTTATATCTATCAACGTTAGTAGCATATACCACAATAGTTGTTGTATCTACTTTTTTTCTTTTATAACTGTCGACCAACATATTATTGTTATTATTATGAGGTTTGAATTAACTTGTGACAAAGTAATTGCAACAAATCAGTCTGTTGAAGATTCAAATATCCCAACAAAGACCTTCAAATCTGAGTCCTGAATATCAACAATGCGATAATTCAAACCCTTAGTATAAATAATATAAACATCATATCCATTGGGGAAATTAGTAGCTATCTGTATTGATCAACTTAGTGGATAGCTACTTGGTGTTTGAAGCGATCGTCTCTGGAATCGAGTACCCATGTGGGGTTATCAACACTGGGATCCAAGTATGTCCAGCTAAGGAGTCATGATTCGAACTGTTAGTCCCAGTCCGTCTACTCAAAAAACTCATCGAATAACTTTGAAAAAAGTATTATATAGAAATTTAAGCCTGAGGTCAATCAGTTAATGAAATGTTATGAACACACTAATTATTCGTGTTCAGCTTAAGGATAAACTGTAAGATTTCGATTGTTTTTAAATGAAGCGACTACTGAATGCTTAAAGTACTCGATATTTAACCAGTGGTTTTTTTTTAGGTCATAAAACCACTTCAATTAATTCACCAGGTTTAACAAGACATCATGAAAACTATATAACTCAGAGCCCCAAGTGCATACACCTATATTTAGCAAATGAGCTACATTATTGTTACCTAGACCAATCTCTTTTTTATGTTGTGCTATTCGACTTGATATTTAGGAAGATTAATGGAAATTTATAGTTCAAGAGAAAGATTTTGAAAGTGCTCTGTCATCTGAGATGGATGGTTTAATTACTTAGCTTCCTTTTAAAGGATATCTTGATGATATTGTCCTTCTTAGTGCTGATCGACTCCTATCGATCAAGTTTCAATGTGGCCACTAGTCCAAGTGACTCGACGTCATCTGCACTGTGTTAATATATAAGGTGGTGGGTGGATGGATCAATAGTACTGTCTCTGACTGCAGCTGGGTGACACAAGATCAAATCCGCTAGGGAGAATCATGGTTTACAGGTACTTCTTGTTGACGAGTACCAAATAGTATGAAACCTAGGTCAAGCAGGATTTCCTTCGGACTATCTTTAACCACCGCCTTACAGTGAAAGCTTTATGATTAAACTATCAAGATTAGAGAATAAAACGTCATGTCAAAGACTATGATTTTTTTTAAAATCATTTTGCTTTTTGATACAATTAATCATCAGTCACTGAAACTTTGTCGTTTACACTCATTTATATGCTTATGAATTTTAGGATTGAAAATTCTTGAATTAAATTCTGATCGTTGTCAATTAGAATGGACTCCGGTTAATCAGTTAGGCATGGATCCCATTATCTATTTGTTGCATTTGCTTCCAGTCACAGCCAATATACAACAATCAACCAATTTAAATCAGGTAATTTTTCATTTGTTTATTTATTCGGATTACATTCTGTGTACCCTTAGACTACTCTTTCTCGTTTAGTTTAATTAGATTTGGTCCATTTTTCTGTTTCCGTTTTGATGAAATATAAATTTCGTCTGCATATTTCAACGTGTTTCTCCGCTTATCTTTTATATTTTTTAAAAACCAAATGTTTATGACACTGACCTTCTCTCAAGGTTCCTACAAAAATCCAACTCTCTAACTCTTATAATTAATTAGAAAGTGGAACTACTACAGTAACAGAAATCACAAAGTACTTATTTGGTTTGGAGTTTTAATAGTTTCTGTTTTGGTGTTAAAATTAACAAACTGTTCGGATTTCTCAACATATGACTCATAGCTTGTTCTGTCGACCTCGATGTTGATTGACTGTTGTTAACCTGTCATTGTCCACTTCTTTATTTTGATTGTATCTCCCATTGATTTGATTCTTGGCCCAATATTCGTCTGTGTTTTTTCTGATCGGTTGATAGATTAGATCGATTTCAATGTTTGTTGATTGCCGATTGACCTGAATGCCAAACTTCAAAAAATTCTCTCGTGTTTTAAGGATTCCCTCCATCCAAGATCTCAATATTTTCTGAGTCGGATGTATGTCCACATGCATTGTATAAGTGAGGATATGTCATAGCGTTTGACTGCTAATTGATGTTCATGAGGATGGAGATAAAGGGGGCGTCCACTTTATCCGATGTAGTGTTTTTCGCAGTTGGAACAATTTATTTTGTAGATGATACTCAGTTTTTCTTCCGTCATTCCGTCCTTCGGTTTGCATACGATTGGTTGAAGTGATTTCGCCGGTTTGTGTGCTACACCGATTCCAAACGTCTTCAATAATCTGATTGTAATTTCTGACGTTTTTTATATATGGTAGGATGATCCGTTTGTTGGTTGATATTTTTTGATGAAGTTGATTTGGTAGCCGTTCTTTTGAAAATTAGCCTTCAGATATTTTTCTTCATTTTTATGCACTGCAAGTGTGTTGCGGTGTGTTCTCACCCTCTCGAATAAAGTTTGTACTCAACTGATTATGTTAACTCTTAGGCTGTTGCTACTGTAATTGAAAAGTTGGATCTGTGTGGACTGACTTCTGATATACTTGAGTATCCAGTTTTCCTGTGTTGGTTCTGGTGATTAGTACATTTAAGAGTGATGGTTTGTTTTTTAACTCCTTTTCCATTGCAAATTTTATGTCATCGAAAATGTTGATCAGATTGTAGGTGTTTTCCAACTCGTTCTTTTTGACGATGAAGAACATGTCGTCCACATGACGAATCCAAATTCTTGGCTTGATCGCTAGTAAGATCGAGGCTCTCAGTATCTCCATCACTTCTTCAATAAGTCTTGATATTGATGATCCCATCGGTGTTTCTTTCGTTTGCTCGTAGATTTTTTGTTGTATTGGAAGTTTATTGTTAAGCATAAATCGATGACTTGTAGTAAACTTTGACTTTGAAGCTTCATGTACTTTAAGAGGTTTCTGTCGTTGGTGAGAAGCAGGGATAGGGTTTCCTTTGCTAAGCTTATTTCAATTGAGGTGAATAAGGCTGTCACATCAAAGAATGTCATCAGTTCATCATTGTTAATTTGAATGTCCTTAATGTGATCCAGGAAGTGTATAGGGGATTTGATGGAGTGATTGAATGTTCCAATATTAATTAAATTCCTCTCGATAAATTGAATGTTAGAGTTCCAAGGAGTGATACAGTTGAATGTAATGGGATATTTGGTTTGTGTACTCTCGGCCTTCTGTAGAATGGGGGGTGCACTGGTTCATTGGATTTCATTCTCCATTGATCTTGCTTTGATATTTATCCTACTTTGACAAGCTTGTTTAAAGTCTTCGAAATTTGGTTCCTTAACCTGTTGACCGGATTTTTGTCTATTGGTTTCTATGCACTTTTATCCTCAAGTAGTTCCTCGGCTTTCCTGATATATTCTTCCTTGTCCATAATCACCGTAGTGCGTCCTTTGCCCACTGGAACTATGACAATATCTTCTCTAGTTCTCAGTTTCTTTAAAGCTTTTTGTTCTTGTGTAATCAGTTGGGTCTTGTCTTTCTTCTATCGAGTTAGCAGTACTATGGTGTGCCTTATTTACTGTTGGTTTATTTCACTTATTCTAGCAGTTTTGACTGATGACTCTAGTGCGGCGAAGAATTTGAGGTGTCACTTGTACTGTAGTTTAGCCTTTTTCGGAGTACGTGTTCCTCTATGTCAGAGGTTCCTTTTGCAGGCTGACCACTCAGTGGTTTGTGCTTTTTCCATGAGTGGTTATGAAATCTTGATTTGTTTTTTTTTTTTTGAGGGCTTTTCTTCTTTGTTCCCTGTGTTGTCTGATAACTCGATCGCTGTTGTCAAGATTACCAAATATTCTGATGTGAATATCCCCTCTACCCTCTTTCGGTCATCCATGAGTGTTGGTATTTCTGAATCCTGTAGTATGCATCAGTTATCATTAGGCGTACCATTTTTATTTCACTTTTTTCATCTATTCTCCATTCCATTGGGCAGTTGGTTGGAGGTCTGTATCTTACACTTGTTAACAGAACACGCTGACGGAAATACTCGTGGAGTAAATAGAGTTGTTCGCCAATGGAAGCCTGTCTTTTGTCAAACTTCTCCCATATCTAAACAATGCAAAGCGTGTTATGTTCATATGATTTTGAGATGATGGAGATTTGTAACCCAGGTAGATGATTTAGGTGGAAATACAATCAAAATAAAGAAGTGGACAATGACAGGCTAAAGGTCAACAACAATCAATCAAGATCGATATCAACAGACCAAGCTATGGTTCTTATGTGGAGAAATTCGAACAGATCACTTCTACTTGAAGTTTGTGCTGATGATGTTGTTCTGAAGGACAATGAAAGCTAGAGGACCAAACCATCCAGCCACCTAAATCATCCATCTGAGCTACAAATCCTCTCCTTCATCTCAATTTACATGAACTTTATCAATTAGATTCAGGGAATTTTTCAACGGAGCTTATTAGCTGATGGTAATTTAGAACATTATTTAACTTCTTCGGATTTTTAAGAATATTCATTAACATCCAGTGTAGTGAACGCTAGTCACAGGGATATTTGTCAGTAGTGTATAGCAGATGTAGCGTCGAAGTTGCAACAGCTGTCAGGTGGGATGTAAGAGTCTTAGTGCATATAAAGCACGACATTGATAGAACACTTGGAGACCATAGGAGAAGGGAGTTCAGATGGCAGAACTCACCGAAAGATGGAAATTGATCATTAACTTACGCCTGTTACCCCTCGGGGAAAAGCATAAATCATGCACCAGCATTCTCCATCCAACTCTGTCCTGGGTAATCCTTTCCAGTTGCTATTCATCCTTTTCATTTTTCCTTCCAATTCTCGACGTAATATGCTCTTTGATCTTCCTCTTTCCTGTTTCCCTTCAAAATTCCAGGTGAGCACTTGCTTATTGATGCAGTTTGGTGATTTCCACAATTTATGTCCTATCCACCTCCAACATCTTTTCCTAATTTCCTCTTCAGATAGAAGTGGGTTTATCCTCTCCCACAGTAGGCTGTTGCTCATCGTATCCGGCCAACGGACATTGAGTATCTTAATTTGAAAACTGTTTATAAATACTTGTACCATTTCGATAATTGTTGTAGTAATTCTCCAATTTTCAGCTCCGTATAGTAGAACTGTCTTGACGTTCTCATTAGAGATTCTGATTGTGATACTAGTTGACAGTTGTTTTGAGCTTCATATGTTGTTCAGCTGTAGAAATGTGACCCTCGTTCTGCTAATTTTCGCCTTTACCTCTGCTTCAGGTCCTCTTTGTTCATGGATTATGTACGTAAAATTTTCTCCATCAAATGCCACTGAGTTATTGTTCGTCGTGTTGTATTTGAAGATGTTGCTTTTTCCCTTATATATGTTAAAACCTACTGCTGCTACACTGTTTGGCTGAACTTTGTTACTACCAGCAATAAATTCACATTCTCCCTGCTAAATGTCTCGTTTTACTCTAGTGCTGTACTGTATTCATTTTGAATACTTATTTTACATTAGTTAAACCAAGATAATCTTATATTCCACTGTTCAGCTTAAAATCAATAGATAAATTATTGAGAGTTTTGCATAAGTTGACACCGTTCTATTGTACCACTTTTAATTATGATTTATAGTTTTTAGGGTATTTACATGTTTTACGTATTTGAACATGTTATTCCAATAGGTTTGTGTCTAGTTGGCATTGTGACCTGTACACTATACTTCATTATTTTTCACTTTTGTAGTGCAATTATTATACAATATAACTGTACAATTTTGTTGATCAACCTAACTGATAAACTTTGAAATGTCGAAAATGTCTAAATGCGATTACTGAAAAATCTTCCGACCCCCTAACACTAAAAAACAATTATGCACTCGATACCGAGCCATACAAACTAATGTTTACATTCTAAATTGACAGATAGAATTCGATCAGCATTAAAAACTGGATAAAAATGACAGTCAGCCCTCAGTGGTTTATTTATATAAATATAACAACATTATGGGATACCAGCTGTGACTCGTATAGCTTAGTAGCAATATCTCAAACTATGAAGCTGAATGACGTGATTTTAGATTCCATGGGAAACACCAGTTCTGTTAATACTGCAGGTACGCTCTTTCAATAAGTGTCAAATAATAAGAAACTTGGGCCTAGGATTTCCCGCTGACTACATCCAAACGCTTAACATCAAGATTCTATTATTAAGTGAAATTTTATACGAGCATGGTGAACAAGGTTTTGTAACTCGAGAGGACAATTTCAGATGAAATCGTACTCTCTGAATTTAGAGCACTGAACTTCACCGAAATCACTAACCTTAACAGATACTTTGGGAAAATCGAAGAGATTGGCCTACGCCGTTTACATTGTAAGTTGAGGGGATGTTACTACTCGGCTGTTTAAATTATTACTTAATAATTAATAAACATTTTTGTAGTTTACATCACAGTCTGCTCTTAACTAGACAACCATTGAAAACCAGGCAGCACTGAATAGCATACGACTCCTCATCAGTGCACATCTACAACCATATCATGGGTCAAATTCAATAAATTTGATCTTACTGAGAGCGTTCAACCTCCAGATCATTGACTCAGCATCCAATGGTTAACACAATATCACGTAATCAAACCACATGACTTTGAATTACAAAGATTACCAATCAAATTATCTACGTAAAATGAGGAGATCAAAAGAATATCCTAAACAAAATGAAGAAAATTAAAGTGGGAATTATCTAGAACCGAAGGATGCACATAGGTTTCGAAGTATTACAGTAAGTGAAAGATCACATAATGAACTAAGCAATGCATTTTTAAAATGAATGAAACAACAAATGTAAATAGAACAAGTAAAATTAAAATATATCGGTCAAGAAGATGAACAAAATCTGACATTTGTATCCTTCTAAGTGTTGCACAGGTTAGGTAATGAGTGTTTAGCTAATAATTGTTTCTGCAAAATGCAACAATCTTGCATCGTTTCTTGTATTATCTATTTTAAAAAAACATTGCCAATATAATCATGTGATCAAGATATTGACACTTTTTAATTACCAGTTATTTGGTACGTGATCATATTGAGAATTAAAAAAGAGCTGTGTACTATATTCTTTATGAATATTATTGTGTTTCAGATTGTTACTTGTAGCCTCGCTGAATTCACTCTCAAATAGTAAATGTTTTTAATTCTATGGACTCTTGCTTCAATGTTTTATTTGAAACTTCAGAGTATACATTTGGTCCTTTAGTTATTAGGGAATGGTGGTAAATCAGTTGATGAGGTTGTAAATTTTCATGGACCGAGATGATTGGGTCACGTGTTGCGCATGCCTGAGCTCCGATTATCACGACGCGCATTGCTGACTAGTATAGAGGATGGTTGGAAGAAAGTTAGAGGCAGTCAAACCAAAACGTGAGATCAGCCCACAAAGTCACTAACTTCTAGTCTGAGCCATGTTGTTAGATGCAGACTATTGTAACCATTGGTTGGAGACTCTGTGTGACATGGCTCAGAATCGATCATGATGGCGTAGGTGTATACACTCTCTGTTTCCCCTTAAACTATGAGATTAAGATCTCTTCATATATTTCTTCCTACGAACTAATTCTTTGTTTCCGTTATTTATTTATTTATTTTAACACATAGATATTGGTACAAGGAGGCACCAAATACATATGCGCCACGCAAATCTCATTCGATATGTGTGAGGGCTGTGATACTCCCCGGGTGCCCAGACCGAAGCAGGTGGTTTTCTTAGGGGGCACTTCTCGAGCCTTCGACCTGAAGGTCTGATCCACAAGGCAGTGGAGCATCGTAAGGAGATGCAATCTCATGGAAGCCGGTGACCAACAATTGATTCATACGCCATTTGTTCCCGCAGAATACTGGAGCCCATGTGCACCATTGATTTGGGATCCAGTTAAAGCGCCAGAAATTCGCTTTTCGTCCTCTCATTTTCGTAAACAACAGTAATGATACGAAAAGGCAGTGAGTAGGACTTCCCTGGCAGAGGCTGTATACGCGTGGACATGTGAGAGCATTTGGAGAGGGAGAGCGGACTCTCCCTACTCTCGGCCGTACCAGGGCATTTGGGGGATTTGTTTCCGTACTATATCCTTATATGCAATTTTTCTTTTATATATTACTACCATTGACTTGACCACTTCTATGAATCCGGTGTTCATCTTGTCGCGCTAATGAGGTATGGCAACTTGGACCGATGCATATATGTGCCTGGTCTTACGTTGTAGCTGACTGACTGGTCCTTCAGTTGTTGTCTATCAAGTAAACTAAAGTTCCAAAAATTATAATAATAATTTGTGATACGATTTAAATGTGACAACCTTTAAGTTACCAGATCGTTGCTTTCAACTGTGATATAAAAGTCTTCACATATCAGATAATATTTGGCGGTAGTCATTTTGAAAATAAAATTATACAGTAGTATACTCAAATTATCACACTTTACATAAGAACAAGAAGAGAAAATTGCTACCGACGATAAGCGACTGACTCAAAGTAACCAAAGTAATAGTTGGAATGAATGAAATCATGGCACAAAAAGTGTGCTGTCCAATCAAACCTCAAGATTTATGGCTATATAGAGAATGAACACGATTACCCGATTTTAATCGACTTTAAGGTATGATAACATCTAGTGTCTTCAATTGTCGTACGAATCTTGATCAGTAGGTCAGAAGCTTCTCCAGTTGCTTACGTCCAACTGTCAATACCCCTGATGATTAATCCCATACCTAAGTTCGACCGTGCCTAACCTTCCCACCTGCTCTACGAGCCAGTTTTTTCACATCAGTTTGCTTGGTGATTTAAAATGCGCAACACATGTATCAACCACTTCAATCGATAAAAGTTCACTCCCATAGTTAGTTTATGCAACGATCCATATCAGTTCCGAAACATGTGGATAAGGCGACATGTATCCCATACATTATCGCATTCTTAAATGATACTTTTCAAAAACTGCAAATGCTTATAAACAAATATCAATCAATTCCTCTCTCTTTATTATTTTCATTAAAATTGGGATGAGAACACATCATTTATCCCCCAATATAATAAATTGCTGGTATTACAATCATCGACTGAACTAAGTATGCTGTTAGGATCTGTTTGTAAGCTGACTC